TATTCCACAATTATATAACAGGTATACTAAAATGGAAGTAAGAAAAGAAACCAAAAAATTGTTGAAATTAAAATAATCAAAAATTAAATAAAATTTAACTTCTACCATTATAAACATAATGCAAAGTAAAAAAAGTTTAAAATTTTATATTCTAACCTTAATATATATATTCCCCACATAATATATAATTTACTATATATTATATTGTATATATTATAATACATTATATTATATGTTATATTATAATTATCTGTAATTTTTGATATATGTAGGATAATTTTATCACTTACTAAAAAATTAAAGGGTAGTATATGATAATCATAAAATCAAGAGATGGAATGAAATTTGGATTCCATTATTATAGTGATGGAATTTAGCCATTTGATAGAATAGTTTCTTAAAGAATGAGGATTTCTATTTTAAAATGATTACCAAACACATTTTTCCAATATTCTTATTACATTCCCATCTAATATGCAAATTTTAAATGTATACTCACAAGTGCACAAATCACTCATAGTGAGCAATAAGTTCATATTGAAATCGTCTTTTAAGGTGAAATTAGATATGATTATTTATTTAGTTTTTAAACTTGATAAGGAAAAAATTCAATTAGTTAAAAATAAAAGAAAATTATGAATTTAAGAGTTTGAAAAAAATAAGTTACCAGAAAAAATAAAAGAGAGAATTAATAGAATGAATATTGATTAATGGATAAAGATGGTGTGAAACCGGTTACAAATAAATCTCTCAAGCATAGATTAGTACAAGATAATTCTATTATTAAGAATGGAATTCTTGTTGTCATCCAATGATGGTTGATTTAAATTAATTTAAATTTTAATCTTATTGGCCGCCCAAAAACCAAAACCGAATTAACAAATTAGAATTGAAAATAATTCCAAGGGCATATTGTAAACTGTTATCAAATTCTTGTAACTAATAATTAATCCCTAGTCTAGTAGTGTGCTACAACTAAAAAATTCATTTAATTAGCACAAACCAACCAAAATTATGAAAAGAGCTTTTGAACGTCCACCTCACTTCCAATGGCAAGGCCTGTAAGTGATTGAATACTCTTCCAACTCTTCCTCGTGACAAAATCTCAAATTATGTTAAATGAAATCTTCTCTTCTTCTTCTTGCTTTTGTTCTTCTCATGCTTTGAAGTTCACTTTGAGTTCAAGACTATGGTGATAGTTGAATGTGTTGAATGATGAAGAGAGTTTTGATGTTAAGAGAATAATTGTGAGGAGCTTGATTGGTAGATGGTAGTAAGGAGAAAGAGAGGTTATCGAGAGGAAGGTTGTCGGCCCTCCTCCCGTCTAGGAGAGGTGGTGGTTCGTGCTTTGCTCCAAAAGCTTCCTTTGGGAGAAAATTGATCTTATTTGCAATTAGTTTTATCCTGAAATCAAATTTTATCTTCTTGCAGATTTTTCAAATTAATTAAGAAACAATTATATATTTTCTCCTCCAACATTAACCATCTGAACAAAAAAGCATTGAATAACATCATCAATAATTGGCTAAAAGATAATTAAAAATAATGTAGCCAATAGAGCTTCCACTTCAATTACTATTCCTCAAGTTTCGCAAAAATTTAGGACATTTCGCAAAAATTTAGGACTGTGATTGTGAACTTTATAAATTTACTGATCCGGATTTCTTCCAACTAGAATTCGGTTAAGTCCAAAATATAGAAGTTGTATAGAATCAAGTTAGCAAACCAGGGTTTTTGAAATCAACCCAATCCAATTTCCATAACTTAAGATATAATAATTTTACTTAAACTGAGTTACAACTAAAAATTGCAAAATCTGTGAAAATTGCGGACTTTGTTTTGAACTGTATTAAATTGTTGTCCATTCAAAATTTGTTTTGGGTCAAAGCATAGAAGTTGCAGGCCATTATAATCGGGTTAAAACCCAACTTGAGTTGCCCCAAGCCAACATGTATAACTCCAGACATATTCTAAAAACCAAATGAAGTTTGACAGAATTTTCTGCCATCAAGCACAATGTATTAGAGTTAAATTACGTACCAATTTTGGTTGTCTTTCATTCTGAACTAGCTTGAGCCTAAAACATAAGAATTATAACCCTTTAAATTATCTTTTATCCCCTTTGGGAATCAGTCAATTTTGAATTTTGTAACTTGAGTTATGGCCAAGTACTGTAGATAGGTCATTTTGAAAAATCCGCTCCAGTTTCTATCACATAACTAATTTTCACCTCTTTCTCTATATTTTTAAGTTCCAATTGTTCTTTCTACACAATACAAAAACAAACCAAAATAAACTATTCTAAAGCAAAAATAAGTAAAATTAACAAGAAAATACAACAATACACTAGGTCATTGTAATACCCCTAACTTAGGGGTATTTATGAAAATTAATAAACTGAAGACTAATTGAACAAATCAAAATAATTAGGGACTAAATCTACTCAAATCAGAAAGAGCAGGGACCAAATCGAGTTAAATCAGAACATCAGGATGTAAATCAAAAGATATTAGAATCTATAGGGACCTAATAGAAATTTCTTCAGATTTGGATCCAGATTGTTTTCCAAATCTCCCTTCCTCCAGATCTTAACTTCAATCCAATCAATCTGTGATAGATTGATGAAATAACTTTCAATTTACTATATAAGAATGTCAGACGACCCTCAAAGAGCAGAAAATTTAAATCAATTTCTCCTAATCTTTTCTCTGTACGAGTTGCATTACTAGATTCCGTCTGCCATAGCTGTTGGAGGACAAACCCAGAAAATCAATTGTGTGGCCATTGATTGAAAAATCAATTCATTTCATGCCCGTCGCCTGTCCGTCCCGATCAACATAGCAAGATTAAATTCTAGAAATCTTCCAAGGCTCCAAGTAAGTAAATTCCATCCTTTCTGGTTCAGGACTTACGGGTAAGGGAGAAGAAGTCCAGATTGATTCCGGGTTGTGGGCTGGGTATCTGGGCCTTCGCTCCACATTTAAAAAAAAAAAAAAAAAGATAACTAATAAGAAAAAAAAACCAAGCCGGTTCACTTGGGTTTTGGCCGGTTCACTCCTGGTTCATTAGATGACAGTATAAATAATTAATTTAATAAATTATTTAAGACTTGGTTCAACAAAAATAATTGACTTTTAAGGCCTGTTCAAGGCAAAAATGCATTAAACCGACCGGTTCAACGTTCTAGAGGCTGGTTCAGTACTCATGTGGACCGGTTCAGTGCTTTTTTAACCGGTTTCGAGTAAACTAAATGTTTTGAAAATTAAAACATGCTGGTTTAGTGGTTTAAGATTCGGTTTATGGCCGGTTTAACCTCCGAATGACCGGTTCATAGCCGGTTCATTCCTTTAATGGTTGGTTCACTTCATTTAATGATTTTTGGGGGTTTAAACATACTAGTTTTGATATTTTAAAGAAGGCATTATGACGTTGATACTTGGTTCATAAAGTATTTGATGGTTCGGGACTTAAATGATTATAGAAAGGGACTCGGGCACGAAAAACTAGAAATTTGGTTTACTTTTTATTATTAGAAATATAAATTTACTTATACTATTATTTCCTGATTCTAGATTGATCGCACGATTCTGGTAGAGTTGTGTTGTTAAGTGTTGGATTTCTCGGTTTCGACGTTGTGTGAGTAATAATGTGTATTTATGAGCTGTTCTGCTTTCTATATTTAAATTAAATTTGTTTTTTAATTATTTACCTGATTTCTACAAATCTGATTAAATTTTTGTTAAATTATATGACAAGGGACATGCATGTAATTTCTGAAATTATTTTGGAAACTTGTCTGTTATTTATATTTGATTCAGTTTTATATCAGTATATGGAATTATTCAGTTAACTATTCTGTTAAATCTAGAAAACATTATTTTGAGGGAGTTTCAGATTTTTGAATACTATAGCTGACGGCAGTACATGTTAGCATAATTTGCACCCTGTATGGGTCCCCATCTAGCGGGGGTGATGGTGCTAGACATTTCAGATTAATGTTTTTCAGCATGGCTGATATGCTGCCGATGTGATTATCCAGCATGACTGATATGCTGTCGTTGTGATTTTCCAACATGGCTGATATGCTGCCGTTGTGATTATCCGGCGTAGCTGATATGCTGCCGTTGTGATTATTCGAGCATACTGATATGTTGCCACTTTGTTATCCGGGCATATGTTGTCATTCTGTTATCAGGGCATATGTTGCCATTCAGATTACCGGCTGACTATGTGTCGCCGCCTTGATTACCGGCTGACTGTATGTCGTCGCCTTGGTTACCGGCTGACTGTATGTCGCCGCCTTGGTTATCGGCTGACTGTGTGTCACTGATCTGTTTCCCGATATATGTTATGTTCAGGATTACGAACTCCCTAAATTATAGAAAGTGTTTGCATAAAACCTGTTTTTAGTAAGTTACATGTTATATCTGTATGCATGTCCTTTGTTTTTATAAGTGCAGATTATTATTCACTGGGTCGATAGACTAACTGTCATTTTTTTCAGATTCTGAGTACGCTGATCCGGTGGATCCTGCTTACTGAGAGGAGTCCTGTCATCAGCAGTTCTGTTTAGATTTTTTCTATTCAGAGTTAGTTATTCAGTTTCTATCAGACTTTTGTATTTCCTGGGATTTTAGTATGCTCCATTTGACTACAGACAGAATTCTGTTTTATATTTGATATTTCAGTTAGCTTGATTTGGATTTTATTTGAGTTATATCAGACTTTCTGCTTTTCAGTTAAATTCAATGTTTTTGTCAGGCTTGTATGAGTTGGGATTTATTCTGACTCTTGCGCCAGTCATATATCCGATTTTGGATCGTGACAGTCATAATTGATTCATCACGATTCTCATAACAAAATTCTATTGTGTCATATACCACTTGTTAACAATCTTTCTCAGAAATGTTAATTCAGTTTCACAGTTGATTCATGATGGTCATGAATTAATTTTAAGAGCAACGGTTGTTTTATCTTGTATAATAATCTGTTGTTAACAACTACACCTGAAATGAACGAAATACATGTTATAAAATTAAACCAATTAGATGTCATGAACAACGAATTGATAAAACAGGAAAAGATGAACCAAGCTTACAACTGGCTTTTAAAATTACGTAATGTGAGTGAGGATAGAATAAAACAATTGGAAAAGTACCAAGTACTCGATTCCTTGGATTTTGAATAGTAACCCAATTGTCAATCCTGCCTGATGGATAAAATGACCCAAACGCCAAAAGTGGGACATGAAAAGAGAATCACATATACCCGCAACTCATACATACCAATGTACGTAAACTGGCCTATTAGTATTATTGTCTAAGGTGCTTGTAACTGCTTCATTAGCTTTGCTGATACTTTTTTACAGTATGGATGTTTGAATTCGATGAAACAAATAAAAATCTTTTGAAAAGTTTACGGAACTTAGACATGAAGTAGAGAAAAAAACTAGGAAGAGTATTAAAGCTCTTCGATTGGGTTGTGGTGGTAAATACTTGTTAATCAAGTTTTCTTAGACATTTTAGAGAAAATGGAATTTTATCCCAATTGATAGATAATAGTGGGAAGAAACGGTGCAGAGGCTGTGGTGACTGTTTAAAGAGAAGAAAAGCAGAAGTAGAAATAACAGAAGGGGAGGCAGATGTTGGTCAGATTTCAGCTCTAATACCAAAGTAATGTAGGACAGATCTCAAACCACGAGAGAAAATTCAAGAATTCTCCATAATATTTTCAAATCAATAATTATCAAATAATTATTGTAAAGAAGAAACTCATTTATTCAATACATCAACCCAATATAAAGAACTAGAAATCCTAATCCTAATCAACTTCTAAATCATAGATAAACCAAATCATTTAAAAGATAATTACAAAGATCAAATAACACTAAATAAAATAAATTCTGAAGTAATGTTCTTGTTCTGCATCAGTCATTGCTCTATTATCGCAACCCTACTCTTTTATTAATCCTCACCTTGAGTTTTCAAGGCTGAATGTTAAAATACACAGTATAAGATTCATCCATTAAGCTAAACAAGGGAGCAAGAAGAAAATTCCTCTTCATTCCTTTTGCCACAAAACTAATAGGATGATATTTGCTAATCCCATCTCTTACTACAAAGGTAGCTGCCTTCTTGAATTCATTATCAGATGATCCAGGATTGCACTTGAGCATGAGGCTTGAACTACCATAAACAAAGCAACTTTCCTGGCTCGCCGACTCTAAGGAGACCGTCCCATCATTTCCATCCAGCCCAGCAACAAACCTGAAAATGCCATTTTCATCCCCGGACTCTGCAATGGTGAGACCTTTATCCATTCCTTGATGTGTCAAAACCATACCAGGAAAATCTAAGGGTTCCAGCATTACTGATTTCCCAATTATTTGATCAGGTATTGAAAATTCTGAGGGATCTGAGTCTTTCAAGATGATTCTAAAAGTGGCATGCACAGAAGAGTCTGTGCCGGGCATGGGTAGCTCATCCATAGTGATTGAGAGATTGGAATTTGTCAGGACTAATACTTTTGAATCTGTGAATTGCTGAGAGAGTGAGATCAGGTGGGAATTGTAAGCTGCAGGAATTGGTGTTATCCAGTCGGACAAGGAAAGAGATGAGTCTTTCTTGATGTCCCAGTCTCCACTGGTCAGACCAGCAAGTAGGTACGGCCCATAAAAGATTGCCTGAAGGGAAGCATACTCCGGCCGGTCATCTGAAAGTTTTTATGAAACAAATTATAAATAAGGACAACTATGTATATATAAATGCATACTTGCTGTAGATTACTAGACCTATTCACAGAGAACCCAATAAGGCATTAAATCCAGAATCTAGTGTATATTTATATTTAATTTTTTTAGTAATATTTGCAATTGTAGGTCATTATTTTTATTTATCCAGGAGTTTCATATTGCTTGAGTTTTTTGATTTAGAGAAATATAATTTGTCAAGGGTGCTGTGTGCTATTTAGTTATTGTTTTCACAAGGTTAGGTAGGTGCCGTGAAAAAGATTGCTTTAATAAAATTTCAAGCATAATCTTAATGGTAATCTGAAATTTTTCAGCGAAAGGATTTTTCCAATAAAGCAATCTGCAATCTAACACAGCAGCTAATCCGTGGGTAATTGATGTGATAATATACTAATGATTTATTTATCTTGGCATGTCATCTAATTTTGAGTTGTTGAAATATGTCTAGCTATCTTTCCCTCAGCAGATTTTTACCTCTCTAATTTTTATTAGCCATAGTTATATCAGAAGAGTTTGGCAGGACCTTTGATTGTCTCAGTTCTCAGATCCATTGGCAATTCAAGAGTCAATTCATCGCCAGGACTCCAATTTTGTGGTGGGGTTGACAAAAAGTTTCCTGCATGAGAAGTGAGAAAATCAGATCTCTATGCTTGGCTTTAAAGTTTCAAAAACTGAAGAAAAATTGAAGCAAATAAAATCCTAGCTGCATGGAATAATCGCCATTAGAAATGAGAAGACAACCTAGTGAGTACTTATTTATTTTATGAAAAGGAAAGGAGATTAGATTCATATGAGGGCAAATAGATGGTGAAGAGAAAGGGAAAGAGATCAAACTTCACACCTGGAGGTGGTAGTGACAAATCCTGACCATTTAAAACAGCCTTTGCACTGCTTGAGTAAGTCCAGAATGGTATTCGAAAATGCAAAGTAGATGTCACACCTGGCCCCTTCTGTGAAAACCCAAAATTAACTAACATGGGAAAGCACTTGAAATTTATAAAATAATATATATCCTATTTGGTTCCAGAACTGGAGAAGTTGTGGATAACATAAAGAGTTGGCAAGGATGTAATTTTCTGATGTCTATTATCCTCTTCATGCTCATCTTAGTAAAGTAATAGGACAAATTATTTGATTCTTTTTCTTTTTTTTGGTTAGAATTATATTTGATTTTTATCCCTCTTACAGTCATATTACCAGATATGCACTTTGAATTATGCTGCGTTTAAAATCACTCTTCCAAGAGTAGACTCAATGCTCTTGCAGATACTGGTAATGGAGTGGAAGATCTAGATTAATTACCCAAATCACTACCCCTCCACCCGTGCTCCCCACCAAATAAAAAATAAGGAAAAGAAGAAGATAAGAATTCTGATATGTATAACTACTAAAAAATTTACCTCTTTTGACAAAATTGTAAATGTCACTCTAAGGTGTGAATCCCATGAAACAGCAGGTTCTACTTTTTGGTTCAACAAAATATGTCCAGATTTCCAATTTAGTGAGCTGGATATGTACTGGATGACATAAATTCCTGGAACATTGCCCACTTCTTCAAAGTATATGGAATCTCCCAACTTTGAGAATGATTCAATTCCTAAAAGAGTCAAGAAAGAAGGAAAAAAATGAGCCACCCTAAATTGCCAAAAGAAAAAGTCATCTACGAGCAAACTGGCTTTAAAGACATAATCAAATAATTTGTTACTTAGGAGAGTGTAGAAATGTAAAGAAATTTCTTAGTCAAAGTTATATAGCATCACACATGTAAATCCTGAACATTGCCAATGTTCTTAGTCAAAGTTATTTGCTCAATGAAAACCATAACGGCAAAAGTAAAAATGATTTACTGAAGAATTTGTGATATGAGACATCCCAAGTGGAAGAGACCTTTAAGTTCCCAAAATTATGAAAAAACATTTGTCCCAACTGTAAAATCTGGAACACAAGTGATAGGGCACTTGCGAAATTCCTTCAGAGGTTAGGGGTAGGGCAGTTGCAAAGTACATTTAGAGGTTAGAGGCTCAACACTTGGCCTCAACAGTAAAAATCTGTATGGGAGTACAAGCCTTTCTAATGACAGAACAAAGAAAAAAATGCTTAAAATAAATAATTGAGGTTCAAGCCCAGACCTGTTCCATAGCAGCACCAAAAAGATTCAAACTGTTTACCCCAACTATGTACACTTCTAGCCTTGGAAACACCACGGCCATGTGGGAGCATATAGATCATCACTCCAGGCTCTGTTCCTCTTTGGATGCTCAGGACACCATTTGTCAGGGCCCTCTCATAATAATCTGCATATGCCATTTCCTTTGTCCATCTAAACAAGTGGCGAGAGACCTGTAACATAATATGTAAATGCATACTTAAATAAAAAACAAAAATTTATGTAACAAATGGAAGATTTAGGCTCAATCTTCACAGAGGATGAAGAACAAGAGAGAATTACAATTTTGAATTTATTATTTATTGAAATATTATTTCCTTTTGATAGGTTATTGCATTTATTTCAGGAGTTTCAGATTCTTGGTACTTTAAAATTCTTAAATTAGAATATTAGCAATTCAGGAAACATTTTCGAATTTAGATTTCATGCTCTGCCTGTTCATATGATGGTTATGAACTATTAAATATAAGCTTGGATGATTAGGAATTGAATGAGTCAATCTTCTTTTTTTTCTTTTTCACTTGTGTTCTTCTTCTCTCTCCTATATCTATCTCATCAATTCCCTTCTATCTGTTTCCCTCTCCTTTCTCCTTGATTCTTTCTTTTATTTCTCTCTTCTCTCCACTTTCTCAATCTCCCTCTGTCCTGCATCAAATGGCTTATCAAATGGCTTATGGCAGGGTCTGAACTGATACAAAAAATCTCATACTTTTAAATTGGATGGACTTCGTGATCTAGGAAGCTTCCAACTATATTTAGATGTTGCAAACAATTTCTCCATTTGGTCTATCAATACAATACCATGTTGCAAGACAAACACCAAATTGAAATAATTCCCACATTCACCCCTCAAAACTTAAAAGTAATCTTCATACCTTTAGCATATTATATGTTGTACAGGATTCTTCATTCTCACTTTTCAAAGTGCTTGCCAGTCGCTTTGGGTTTGACCTGTAGAATTAAGTTGAGAAAGGAGAACAACACAGTTTGGACGAAAATAAATGTCAAAACAAAAAAAGCAACTTTTTTTTTTTTGGGCAGGGGGTTTGGGATTTAACACTTTCGTTAGTTATATGCATATTCATAGGAAATGGCAGATTAAGTTGATTATAAATGAGATTCATGTAATTTGAAATTGTTCTGCATCTGTACCAGAATTCATCGACTGATGTGCCCCCAGTCGGATAGGCATGAGAAGAGTTAACAATATCCATGAAGAAAGTCCCTATTTCCTGGCAGGGAAAAGGCATTGTTTATTGTCAAAAGATGTCGACCTTCCAGAAAAAACTTTAAAAATTTATGAAAATGAAAATGGATTTTGCACTTAAAAAGAAGTTTGTTCAAATTTGTTTTGTATCAATGAACCATGGATATGGACATGTGTCCCATGTCAGACACGAGAAAACAGCATATTTCAAAAAAGCACAAGACACTACACAATGGGAAATGGCTACACACACAACACACACCACAGAAATTCAAAAACAGTGCAAGGCATAACACATAAAACATAAAGGTCATTTAGATAAAAGATTCTAACCAATTTATGACATCTAATCTACTCTCCCTTGGCTGATTTTAGAACTATGGCAAATCATACTAAAATGCACCCCTTTTGAAACATATAAGAAGATATCAATTTGGTAGTATTGCAAATTGGCCTCTGTTTGCAAAAGTTTAATCATGATGCTTAATCCTTCCTTCGAGTCCTCAAAGTGTTCACACATTTACCATATGTCTTAATGTCCAACATGTTTCTGGCATGGTGATTTGACTCTTCCATAAGTGTCTAAGGTTATGACTAACATAGTTGAGATAGTAAGATGCTTCAACTTGGAAAACCATGGTGCCTTTAGGAGCCTTGAGGGTGACTTATTGAAGAACTATCCACCAACAATTCTTCACAATGTAGTTAGGGCTTCTGAATTTAAGAACTAAATTTAAGGAACACTTGAAACTTAATGAATGGTATATGTTTGGCCCAACTTTGTTAGTTGTAGTGATTTAAATATGTAAAAGAGTTTTGACTTGAGGACATAATTTCATATAAGATCAACTTATTATAATTTTGTTTAACCCTGAAAAATAAATGAACTATTCAAGAAGTATAAAACCCACCTCTGCTTGATGACTGTCCACCAATAATTCATAGGTTCACATCTGAATTGCCCCACCGAAGAAATAAATAAAAAGATGAGCAAACTACCAAAATGGTCCCTCAAAGATATGCCAGCCAACAATATAGTCCCCAGTTGTTTTCTTCCATCAAAACAGTCCAAACTTCCCCCTCCGTTCATCAATATACTCCCGCCATTGACTCTTCAACTGAAACAGTGCCAGAAGCTTATGTGTACACTGACATCGCAAAAATGTAAATAAAAAATAGAACAAAAGCAAATGTAGACAACAAAACAAAATTCCCAACCCCTCCCATCTTTGCAAGTGGAATCCAAAAACCCATATAACCCAACTCTAGAGAGAAATACACTGCTGGGTTTCACCTCAGTCTTCTTCCTCTTTCTTTTTTATTGTTCTTTCGCTGAAAACCATGCTTGGTCTCCTATGTGGGTTAGCTACTGTTGAGGTGGGGCTTGAGAGGGAATCAGGAGCTTGAGGGAGGAAGGGAGTGAGTGTGAGGGTGTTTCAGGTGAAGGTTGAGTTGAGGCATGGAAGGCTCTCAGCTGCCACACGTTTCTTGAGTCAGACTGTCAGTTGGGGGCTGCAGTTCAGCAGATATCGTGGTGCCTGGACTTGAGGGTCGAGGCACGGGTTTGGCTGTGACAAGTGGTATCAAAGCCACATTGCTTTGGTCTACTGATGTGCTGCCACTGGGTCACTGTTTTTGCTCTGTTTTGTTCCAGAAAAACAGAGTGTTGTGTTATCTCCACTTCAAGCAAGAGTCAAAAGTGGTTGCTGGTCCTGTGAGCTGCGGAGATGGCTGAAAGGGCTATAGCAGCCAGGGGACCAAACAGTGAGTCGATGGGTGAGACGGTGCTCACCCATCTGCCAATTCTTCAGAGTCAGTTGGAACGTGTTGAGACCTTGATGGACATGGTCATTAATGCTGTAGATGATGCAAGCCAACCCTCAATAGGATGGAATTCAAGGATGAGGAGTTCCAGGAGAAGGTGATTGACTTCTTTGATGATGTACAGCTCAGGCTCAGCTCATGCATTTGGAAGCTGAAATGGACGAGCAGAAGGCAAGGGGCCTGATGGAGCAGACTAGTTGCAGTGAGGAGTCTTGTGAAGGAGACAGCTCCTCTGCCAGTTGCAGTGGTGGCCAGTATGGACAAGAACTCTTCAGCCTATGTTTTGTGAAGAGGAGGACCCTCTGGCTGCTGATGACAGTGAGGAACCTAGCGAGAAGGGAGGCTCCTTCCAAAGAAGCTGTTTGCCTCCTGATTTTGTTTCTGGTTTATGGTTTAAGGTCTGTAACCTTGCAGATTTTGTCACCTTCATACCGAAATTATAATCTGTTTCTGGTTTTTGTTTAAGATTTATTTCCGGTTCTTGGCTGCAATCTGGTGTCAGAACTGGTTTTTGGACTTGAGCTACTCAAATCCAAGCAATAATCTGTCTGCTGCAAAATTTGCAGCAGTGCACTCAAGTTTCTAAATAGGTCAAACCTTTGCAGGCACCACATACCAACTATCCAAACCATTTTTCACATGTGCAGCTCAAATACAGACTACTCTCACACACAGACAGCTCTCACAATTCAAAGGATCAAGATTTCAGCTCTAACCAATTCATAAATCAATTCCCACGCAAAGATGGGAGGGGTTGGGAATTTGATCCGTTGTCAACTTCTGCTTTCACCCCATTTTTTTATCTAAATTTTTTCCATGTCAGCATACACTTAAGCTTTTCCCTTGCCACCATCCATGTCAGCATACATGTTAAGTATACACATAAGCTTCCGGCACTGTTTCAGTTGAAGGGTTGATGGCGGGAGTATATTGATGGACGGAGAAGGGAAGTTTGGACTGTTTTCATGGAAGAAAACATTTGGGGACTATATTGGTGGCTGACATATCTTTGAGGGACCATTTTGGTAGTTTACTCTAAATAGATAAATAAAAAAAAAGAAATATAAAAGAAAAATATAAGCTTACATGCAGTTGCTGATTTAGTGCTTTGGTGGCTATGGAAGGACAATAATATGAGTTGCTTTTGAGAGGTGGAACTGAGATCTGATATATTGGAAGCCAGGTGTATTTCTAAAGAATCATCTTTTCCCCTACTCCCCACCCCTACCCTTCTCAAAATGCAAAACCTATGTACAATTGATGACTCCTTGCCCAAAAGTGGCACAACAAAATTTAACCACAAAAGGGGTGGCCAATTATTGTTTACTTGTTTTTCATGTTGTTTTTCTCCCTAATAGTAGGCCATACCAAAAACTGTATTAATGACTTTCATGAGTTTCCAAATTTTGGATTCATTATTAGACAGAAAGAAATGGAAAATAGTTATGGCTTCAAACTCAATAATTTTCATTGCTTTAATTATGAAAAATGAATACAGAATAAAAAAATCTAAGAAATGGAACCAAACAGAACCATTTTGCTTGAAGCCAGTGTCAATGATCATAACAACAAAAATGCTGGCTCTTTGAAAGTCTTTTGAAATGATGTATCCTTCAAGTTATGTCCTATGGTTGTTGTAACCAAAACTCTTATTTTCTAGTGCAACAGGATTAACAAAATGAGTTTGTCGCAGCTTTACTTTGAGGAATTGAACAACTTGTCTCTCTTAAGATGAATTTTGGCAACTATTCTATACAAATAAACTCCACCCAACAACTACTATCACTTGCTATTGCCACTTGGATGCAGTTGATATTGATGCTGGTATAAATTAGAGTCACTTACCCTATAGAGTGATTCACCAGTAATTTCATATCGCATTTGAGATCCAATGACAATTGGAATATGTGTATTGGCATGAAAACCAGAAATATCATCTGCCTACAAGTAAAAGCCAGAAGTTGTACAATATTATATGTCATGTAAGAACAACATTGAATATCAATACATAAGGTGGAAAAGAACCTTGTTTTTGCTAAACAGTTTCACATTTAAAGGGATTATCTAGATATTGGATATTTAGGAGAGAGATATTTAAATAATCATTATCCGCTTTACAATAGCAGCAAAGTTATGTTCATGTATTAAGATTGATTGCCATATCATTTAGATGTGTTCTCCTTTTTCATTGGATCCAAAAATAAAATAAATAAAATAAGAAAATTAGGCAAATCTACCAGAAGTCACATAAATATTTTGAAAAGAAATTTATGCTGTTAAGAATGTGATCTGTTCGTTTTTCAGTACCCACAGTATTATGGTTCCAAAAAAGCAATAACTAAATCTTAAAAATTGTATACTGGCCTAATTTTGAGGCATCTTGGCTTCCAGATCATGAACAGGTTACTCTATTTCTGTTCAACCACTCTACTTGCTCAGCAAGTGAACACAATAAATTGTTATGAACAGAAGCAGATTAAGCAAAGAACTGAAGAACAGCTGTTCACCAGGTTTTGACAAAACTGAAGTTGATTTAGAATTGTAACTCTAAATGGGGCACAGCACAAAGGAGTAAGCAATCACAATTTTGTGTTTCAATGTTATCTATACATTAATAAGTTTCGGGGACATGGGAGTGCAGTGTGGACCTACATGTTGCACATTAGAAGGAAAAGGCTTTGGAAAATTCCTGAGCCATATGAAACTCTCTTAATGTGTTAAGTTGATTAAATCAAACAACCATCTAGCTGATATGGATCTTTATTGAACAGTTAATGATTCTAATAAAAATCTAAATGGACCTGTTAGTATCAGCTAGCCTGTTAGAGCATGCACATGTTCAAGGAGTTCTTTTTGGATATTTGATTCTCTCTCATTCATTTTCCTTTATAGTTACCCCTCTTGGTCTCTTATTTTCTTCTGTTGCTTTTTTTTTTTCAAAAGATACTCATAAACTGTTTGTGAGCTTGGTTGTGTGGCCCGTATCTTATAAATTACAAGGAAGTAGATAAGTCACGTGATTTGCTATGTCAAAATAGTTCAAGTAGCGCTATACTTAAGCAATCAAGTTTAGCTAGTTTTTTGATAGCCTAACTTGTTTCTAAGTCCTACTCCACTTCTATCTTGTAGTTTCTATCCATGAAAATTTTAGCAAATATGCACAACAAGGTACTATTCAATGTCAAAATTTTTCATAATGAAAAAAAATAATACTATTATCATGTATTTGTTCATCACTGCTGTGTAGTACATTGCATTGGACAAGAAGGAATTACTTCTTTTCTAACAGTTCTGGACATTTCCATTTCACCCTAGATCTCGATCAAATACAGCAGATCACGAGTCCAAACAACAACAAAGAGGTGTAGCCCACAATTCTATGAAAGAGGAATGATTTAAAATATTGAATACTCTCTTACCTTCCAAAGGATGGCACATTCTTTACTATGAAATTTTGAAGGAGAAATATAATAAAAAAATTTAACTGTGACCAACAGAAAGTTGAGAATAAAAGAGAAACAAATCGTTACCTTCATAGCTAGTACTCCTAGAAAGCATGGTTTGTCAAAAAGGTGAGCAATCAATAAATGCTTTGGATTTTTCTGCACAACAATTCGTTAAAAAGACAAGGTAAAAAGAATTAGCCAATTCACAAATATTGATAAAAGTAATTAGTGATAGAAAACAAATGCCTGGCAACATCCTTATAACTCTTCTCCCACCCTCCAATCTGTACTTCCTACTTCCTGTGACAATTTCTAAACACCTTAGAATCTTAAATATCATTTATCAAACTATATCAAAAGGATTTCTTGACTTTGTTTCATATAGGATATGTTCTTCTTAAGGGCACATGCCAGACCTATCTACAGCATAACAACTCAAAGTCTTTGAAGATGGGATGAAACTCCTTTTACAGATTGCCAAATGCTGTAGAGGAATTTATTCTAAATATGTGTATAAACAGCCTAATCACTTGAATTTCCAGAAGCCTAATGAACCTATCAATAGGGTTGATATTCAAAAAATAAATTGAAACTGAAATGAAAAATATAATTAAGAACATATATAAATGAATTTTACATACCGTCACTGTATACAACCTATAAAGGATATCATTCATGCCACCAGTTTCTTCATTTAGTGACAGCCAATGTCTTTCAATGCTATACTCTGCTATCACATTTTGCACACGATTGTAGAAGTAGTCAACCATCCATGTTGCCATCCTTAATGCTTGTTTATTATTTGCCAGTATATGCTGATCCAAAAGACCTGCCAATATCTGTCATGGAGGAAAAGGTTAAAGGCTAAATACATTGTTTAAATGAGTTCAGCAATTAGGAAGTTCAAACAGTTATACCTTGTGAATGGTGTAATAAGGCGCCCAAACAGGTTTTATAGCTTCAAAACGGTCAAATTGCTCAGAAGGGAAAGCAGAAAGATATCCTGTACCCATTTTATTTTGACACTCTGATAAAGCTGAAACAACAGCTGACATTTTCCTTTGGAGAGTATAATTGTTAGTGCTAGCCCACATCTGTGCCGATGCACTCATGTAATGTCCTTCAAATGCATAAAAAAGTGAGAATATTGTTAAAAATCATGTAGGTTTTAAGTCTAAGATCAAAAGGCAGAGCTCAAATATTGAGATCATATATTATGTAACAAAATGGGAACAGAAGATATAAAAATTGGGCTTCCATAAAGCAGAAAGAACAGAACAATCAGATGCAGAACCATTTAACTCTAAGGATCCATTTTATACATGGGATTTTACAGGGCTCACGTAATGCATAACATGGAAAAATCACTTCAAGGAAGCCACGGAAAAGAATTAAAAACGATCCTAGAACCTAATGGAAGGCATTTAGTGGAATCACAGATAAAATCAATCAACTTAAACCGTGGTAGACCCCACCAACGAGGACATAGTTAAATCTTAGATTCTTTCTGTAACAGAGAACTAAAGCTCAAATATATAAATCACATGGCAATTTCAAGCATTCTAAAATATTAAAATTTGAGCACTAAAACTAAGACATAACAAAATAATAGAAATATTAATAGCCAAAGAGAATTACTGCTTAAGTTAATCATTTTCTAATTTATGGACTAGAGATAGAGTGCTAACTTCATATATCTGACACCAAAAGAACATGAAAAAGGAGAAAAATGATTCACAATAATGCTTTGCATAGAACATCAAGAAAAAATAAACAAATAATAAATATTGTGTATTTGTATAATATACATCAGTATAACAAACGAAACTAACCTACAAAATGTCCCCGGAGTTCGCAATTTGGATCCTCCCAACCCTTATATGGCTCGCCAGGGGTTGGCAAACCTGCCGTCTTCCTAAAGCTCCAAACCAAACTGTCAACATTCAGCATCAACAGGTACTCCAAATTTGTCTGCTGAGCCTGCCCATGCTTTGAACCCGGGTCTAACCTCACATCCTGCAACAAGACCTCTTTCAGGAAACCTCCCTGCTGATTAAACTCATCGGAACTCTTCAATTTCCTATACATCATGGACCATTTGTGTTCATCTTCCTCCTTCAACATCTTCCTCGGAAGTAAATTGGACCATGCAGAATCATCGGTGGGAATCAAATGGTAGTGTGAAAACATCTCTTGCTTCCACGTATCATTATTCGATGTCAAAAGCTCATATCGAAAAGTATGTGATGACAATTGAGTAGGAATATTGGTACACTCCTTACCCACTACATACCCACAGCATAGAGATAGCAGTATACTAAGCAACTTGAAGAGCCTCATAGCTTTATCAAATTCTGAAAGCAGAAAAGCCTCCTTGTCCAAGCCAATTCAACAAGACCCAACTGAAAAAGATTCAAAATAACACATTCCAATCCAAAGGACTCCAGGAAAATGAATTGCTAAAAGAACTTCTTTAAGTAAAAGAGCACCACCCAAGACTTTATTTATATAAATGGCAATCAATCTCTGAATACGACATTTAAATATTAAATTATATATATATATATATATATATATATATATATACTCAGTCTCGTGAAAGGAAGGAACGGTCTCCGACGGAAACTAGTTTATAGGCCGATGATTTAAGAAGGAAACAAAAGAGAGGGTGAAAACTAGCCAAAAATTCAACGAATTGCTAATAAACCATTTTGCATAGCGAGTTGGAATTGTAACTGGGAAGCTTGAATTATTGAAGTAGAATGAAACGTCAGCCTGCAAAAATATATATCATAATACATACAAATGTTGCCGTCGGTGCGGACTATAAATAAAAAGACCAATGAGATAATTTCAAGACTCATGTTTGTATATATAAGCATAAAGATGTAGACGTAGAGAAATAATGCGACAGAGAAGGATCACGGATTGCTGTCGTTTTGGAGGTGGGTTTTTACTCTCACAGTGAGAGAGAGAGAGAGAGAGAGAGAGAGAGGAGAGGACAGAGAAAATTAAGTACAAAAGTGCCTGATCGCTGGAACTATGAGCCAACAAACTGTAAAATTTCTCAAAAGACGAGTCCTTGGGGTCTACTGTGGAATCTCGGCGTCAAAACGCCATCACGTGAATAATTGTCCCAGCATTTTCCACCGTGATTGTTAACTCAACTACTCTCTCTCTCTCTCTCTCTCTCTCTATCACAAAAAAAATTGTTAACTATGTCAAGTTTTTTCTTGTTAGCCCCCTTAGAATTATAAGACGTACATATATTTGGTAATATTTTGAAAAAGAATAATTATGTAAAAAAATTTGTAAAGGATAAATGTGTAAGTTTACAACTAGATACCTACCTTCTATCCAACAAAGTCAAATTTGTCCCACCAATCACACATGTTCCGCGGGTACCATCTATGCGCTTCATACCAAACTTGACTTGAAAGACTAATTTTCTTTTCTTCCCCTCTTCGTTTTTTTTTTTTTTTTTTTTTTTTTGGGGGGGGGGGGGAGGAGAAACCAAATGAGTTATTTAAATTCACACTAAAATTATAAGTCGAAAGTGGGAATTAATCCTCAGTATATGGGATTTAGGCTATGCATTATTCCATTTTGCTTTGTATTTTTGTCAAAACAAATAATTGGGTTTTAACTTTAATCTTTGAACGAAGTTATAAGTGTCTTCTATCGTTTCGTTTAACTCTTAAATTCATTAATTAATGTAATTACTTTGTAATTTTACTTTACTTTGGCAAGATTCCCTAAGTCCTTTTGGGATAAAGAAAGGACAAAGTCTAATTTTTATCACACTTTTGAGCATTATATATATAAGAGGGAAGATAGAAAGTAGTTTCCTTCCAAGACAAAGGTTAAATTAAAAAAGAGTTGTATAATATTTTACAAGGTTGATTGTTTCCGGTAGGAAAAAGTTGACTTTGCGTGGAATTGAGGAACAGATGCCACCTTTATGAATGGAGAGGGCACTCCCCCTCAATCTTTCTTTTCCTGATTTTATTTTCTTTCCGTCTTATTCCCCTACCTAAGGAAAGTAGTGACCAAACCTTTTTCTCAATATATCACGAATTCTTTGTAAAATAATTATAATATTTGATCTCATGTTAATTTTTAAATATAACAAATAATATATGATATATAAAATTATTTATAATTACTATTAAAAATTTTGAGCTTAAGTATTTTTCAACAAGTGATTTTGTCATGACCTGATCCTAAGTCTGAGCCCGTGACTAACACTAGGATCTACTGACTCCAATAAGTCTCACAACATCAAATTATACCAACAGTACAAATCAACACAAGCATATCAATTCAATACTCAAATCCACAACAAGATCCTATCAGAAAGTATAAAGAAGCTACTCTAGAATACGATAGAGAAAAGATACAAAAAGAGTACATGTATATAAATCGAATCCACAAACATCAGCTTTGACTCTGGCATGCTAATTAAGGCAAGGACAGCAAATCAAATCTGAAATAATGATAAAATATGGATTGTAAAATTCAGTAAGTAGAGATGATACCTAAACTATACATGTTGGATATGTATCACATCTTAAGTCCAAAACCATACATCTACATACATATATACAGTGAGCAATAACAGATCAAACAAGTATGTGAGGGTACTATCAACTAGTCACATATCACATCACCAGATCTAAGGCACTCCTTACACATTACAGCCACCATCCGTCGACTGTGCTCCTAGTATCCTAAACTTATCATTGACCCCAGGGTACTCCTCGCACACTACGGCCCATCCACCGGTTGAGCCCTTGGCATCCTAATCTCATCATGACAGTGCACAATATGTTCGCAGCCCCTACCGCCTCATACCGAGCCCAAGGCCCTCGTATTGAACACTACGGCATCGCCACCCTGTAGTCGAGTCACCTAACGTCCCCAAATCACATCACACAGTACCATTCACACATATGAGTTAAAAACAGGTATACATACACCTATATAGTCCAAATCTCAAAGACTAGTATCATCATATCAACATAGCTCACTAACAGTTTATAAACCACATAATATATATCCCATGTATAACATATACCAATATACAGTTTACAAAATCACATAATCATTATGCTAGAAAATATAGTATGAAGATGCAAGCATAGGAAGGGTATTATCACTCACAATACAGAAGCCGAGTTAAGAAAGAAGAAATCACACTAATTGATCACCCTCACCCGACTCACTGGTCTGAATGCATCTCTTCAAGCGTATCTGTAATCAAAACCACACAATATCATCACCAACACCAAAACTAGCATAAAAACAGGCTCGACAGCCTAAAACAGAGCTCAAATCCCATCCCGGCACCCTGGCACGCATCTCAAGGTATCACTACCCATCACTAGGACCCATGTGACTCACTAACACATCAATTTTACTCAACAACCCTCAAATAATAATGAACCAACCTCTAAAACCCTCGAATCATAGTGAACCAGACTCCAAAACCCTCGAACTGACCTAAATTAGCATAAAATTACTTCAAACCCAATTGAATTGGCTATGAAACCCATAAAATTAGATTCAGCAGGCCTCAAAACCCTACGAGCTGATCTCAACTGATCAAGAATTGCATAAAACAAGGTTGAATCAGCCACAAGAACCCTTAAACCAGCCTAAACCAGGTCAGTTCAACTGAAAACATCAAATTTCTTATCGAGCCGGATCTCCTTAAACCCTCAGACCAACTCGGTCCAATAGATCTTTTCCTCTTACATCTAGAACCAGTACAATTTCAAAAATCTGAGTCAAAATGGCCACTGAACCAGCCAGTCAAACCCACTGGCCAGTTCAATCAATAGCTTTTTTTTTTTCACTAGGCTAAGTTGATTCATTGAGCCAACTCAGACCAGCCAAACTTTTGGGCAAGCCCACAGGCCCGCAACCCTATTGGGCCAAGTCCGGGCCCAACGGCCCAAACTAGCCAAACACGGGACCCAAATATGTCTGGATCCCTTTTTCCTCACCCTAAATAACAAAACCAAACCCAAACCCCCTGCAGAAAACCCGAAACCTGGAAAATCTATAAAACCACAAAATCAAAGCTTACCTGGTTTGATTGTCCTTCAAGGGATGTAAATCCGCACTAGACGAGCCACATTAAGTCTCCTGAACGAAGAAATCTTGAGCCAAAACGAGCCAAAATTCTCAGAATCTCGTTCAATTGCAAACCACCTCGTCGAACCAACATAGGCCCAAAAACCCTCAATTGATCCAACCCAACACTGATTGAACTCTCATAGGCGATCCTCCCGGGGCAAAATAATTAGAGAAAAAACGGCCTAAAATGGCCTCAAACCCCAAATTTCTCCTTGGTCGCCTGTAACCCAGTCAACCCAAAAACCTGCTCGATCTCCCTTAACCTCACTTGATTTCTTGCAATTGGAAGAGGGCTTCGGTTCGCCTTTCTAAAACGCACACAAAGGTGCAAAAAGTCAACAGAAATCATCACCCAACATGGTAGAATGGCAAGGATCATCATTCGGGTATTGTTTGGATAGAGTTTTTGTTCTGTCTCAATCAGCCCCTGGCAAATTTCCAATTTGGCCCACAAATTTTAATTCTTTTAATTTTGTCCCTAACCTTAAAAAAGATTGAAAATTTGGGTCATTACAAATTTAGATTCAACAAGTTATTAAATTAATAAATCTTGAATTGTTACAGATGATATTAGAGTAAAACGATCTTCAATCAGTTCTAATTATAACAATATCTGTATGTGGCGACACTCTTGAGAGTTGCTATTGAAAAATTTAAATTTAAATATTTTGAATCATTAGTTCAGATTCAATAACTTATTATGTTTATTAACTCTCATATTATTATAATATTATTAAAATTGGGTACCTTTTTGTAATTATAACTTACCTGCCCATAGCTAATTTGTTGGAAAATACAGTCACTGAAAAGTTACAAGGAAAACATGCGTCCCCATTTCATAAACCCAAAAGGTTACTTATCTTAAACGTTTTTCATAAACTTCATTCTGATTTAGTTCGACTTACTATTAGATAAAATCAATCAACCCGGTTGATGATATACATGTTCTTATTTGTTTCTTAACTAAAACCACATTAGCTTGACTTAATTAGCTAAGGAATAGCTAGGCCTTTTAATCCTTTAGTATAACATATAATTAGAAGAATTTTACATTTGCTAATTAAGCTCCAAGTCCAATATCCACTTGAGTCCCCTGGATAAAGAACATATGAATTACCTTTAGGTTAAATAGGCTGACTCTTTGGTCTTTATTACAATCATTTCTAAGCTTGTTTTATGTGAGAAATTTTTAAAATTCAAAATTTTAAAACCCATATAATTATAAATCTTTT